GTTGGACGGTTAAACCAAATACACTACGATTGTCCACATTCATACATAGATTCATACTTTGTTCAGGATAAGTAACCAAATAAACATAAAGTTGATAGTACAAAAGGAATATGTTAAAAGAGTCAATACAAAATAACATGAATGGGTAAATCAAAGGAGACCAATTGTTTCTTCGTAGAGGGATACCAGAAGACGCTCAATGTGGCTATCAAGGACATCCGGGGTAATACATTTGCAAGCTTCAACCCCACCTACACCATGGCCTTGGATGAGAAGCACAGATGAGACAGCAGAATGTCTAACTTCTTTTTGCTGTGGAATGCTCCGGGGCCTTTCAATTGTCATTGGTTTCCCCTCTCTCACACCCACGTTTCTACCGACATCTTGAGAAGATATGGAAACATCAGGGCAAATGGGTCTGATATCCTTGTTCATCATGTAATCTGTTCGAAGGCCATTGTTGCAGTCCAAAACAGTGACCACCCAGCTAGAGCAATCGACACATATGCCTACCCAGTAATTACCGGCAAGATTGATGGGGAAATAGAAATGTACTGCTTCAGCATTGGACCGGTGCTGGCGAAACAAACGAATAACTTCTTCTGAAAATTTGAAGTTTTCTTTTCTTGAGACCTTTGAGAAATTTGAGTACAAGTTGTTGAACTGAGAGCCGAACTTCGTATCCATAAACACTGAAATCGGTTGTTGATCTTGAGACATTTGAGACTGGAACAACCTACTTGTGTGGAACATAAGGACATCTACAACCTGGTGGGGTAATATTTTAAGTTTATTAGCTTCAGACGACATAAAATAAAACTGAAAAACCTTATTTGCATGATTCAATAACGAGAGAAGTATGGGAACCAACCTTATTTGATATGTCAATGGATCTCTGTACAAGCTCGTAAAGTTCGGTGCTATGAATATCACCACCGACAGTTGCAATGGAACTTTACATTTGGAAAAAGCAAATCAATTTAGCCGGCTAAAAAAAAAAACCAATATGCTACTTATGTAAATAACTTTACAAATAGAAAGTTTGGACTTACAATGGGGTCTTCATCTTGTCAAGTAACGAAGCAAACTTAGCAGCGTAATCTATGTGGCGTCCCTTATAGATTGCATCTGTAACGGCCTTTCTCGCACGGTTTAAAAAATTCTTATCACATTCATACTCACCCATAAGCACCTTTGTAGGGACCTTATGCCTCTTTCCCCTCCTAAAGCCTATTTCAGGCTCATCAATATTAGCGTCACCTTGATCCTCATTAACAGCTTCATGATCCGAAGCACTATTAGTGTTATCGTTCTTTCCAACGGCTACACGTTCCTCCTGTGTAAGTCCAAGCGAGAAGGTTGGGCTGGGAAACAACAAAGCAGGATCAAGGTTCTGCATAGGTGAAACAAGTGAGAATGGGTAGATAACTATATTTCTATATAGACTGTCAAATCAAGTGATGTTTGAAGTGAGTAAACATACCACGTCTTGCTTAGCCTGAGTGCGTAGAGGTTCAGATTGATCATCCGCAGTTCCTCCTTGGAAATAGTTACCAGTGGTCCCAGTCTTCTATGTAGTTGTCTCGAAGGTAGTGTCATCTACCTGTTATCAGTGAACATTAGAGAAGAATAACAAAACATAATATTCGTGGTATGATCATGATTGTAACCGGCTACAAAAAATCTTACATCTGGCTGAGCATGAGCTGAACGTTGTGCAAACCTAACTGCGTCCGATATTATGGTTGCAGGGTCAGGCATGGTTTGCGTACTGGTGTCTACCACGTTTGGACGTGGTGTCTCCATGTGAACAGAAAATCCCGGGCCGGCCGCGGTAAAGTTCTGCATTTCTGCGGTTAGTGTTGTCAATTTCGCGACACTATCAGCAACAACTCCATGCAACTCGCTGAAATTAAGTAGAATCGTAACAGTGTATCCAGTAAGTGATTCCTGCATTGTCGATATGTTGCCGTGAAGCAGTTGAAAATCCTCCTTGAGTTTTTCTCTAACCAAATTTGCAAGCAAATCAACATCGACACCTTCCTGAGTCTGACAACTAGTGCTAGCCTTTGTTTTTCCAGTCTTCCGGTTTAGAATATCTGCTTTACCCTCTTCGTGCATCCTACTCACATCAAATTTTGTTGAGCCACCAACAAAGTATTCGGGGAAGAAAGTGTGGTGGTTGTTGATTAGCTTCACCATATTAGAAACGCCAACATCTTCTTCATCGTCTGACCATTCGTAGTCTGCATCAATATTTGTTTCACCATTTGCATCCACCATGATTGACTGTACTAAAGCCTGCAATTTATTTAAAAATAGATCACATATCTTCAACATTGTAGAGACATTTATAGATTGACTTTCAACCCATCAAAAACAAATAGAATAACAATCTTAGTGAGCAAATACCTTGCCTGCCGCATCAATGTCCCGTGCGTGGCCCGGGCTTATACTTTTTATGCCCCCTTTGTCACTGACATGTGAATGATCATCATCTTCAGAAGAAGATGAACTTCCATCCTCGACCACTTCGGTCAACGCTGGTACACATTCAACCATAACAAGTTGGAGCGAAAGTACAAACCCCTTCAGGGCAATGGTGTTATGTGAAAGGGAAACCTCCTTCCTCTCCTTAATGCTAGACATCAATAAGTTGAATGAGACCCTTCCCCAGGGATTCGCAAAAAAAGACATTCAAGTCTCGGATCATCTCCGCCGCTTCCGGTGAGATACGTGGCGTATGTGTTGTGGGAAGTATAACGGCGGCGAGAATGGCTAGGTATGCGTACTTTAACCTCATTTCACGATCAACCACCGTCTTTTTCGCAAGCATCCTCACAACCGACGAAACAGGTATGTTGGTGAGGGTTCCAAAAAGCTCATACCAGTACGGTTTCTGTGGGACGGAGCACTTGGTCTTTTTTTTTTTTTGGAAACTGTTTGCAGTTGAGACCGGTGACCATTGCAAACTCCCTAATTGAAAACCTAATAGGTTTTCCGGCGAACAAGAACCATGATTCATGCTTCTTCATGACCTTGAGTTGTCTTGTTAATAAGTATCTCCCAAACCGCCCTGAGAAACTTGGTTTGTCAGCAATTTCCACCAATTTCCCAAATGGAGAACCCCTAACCTCTTCAATTTCATCAGGAGTAAGTGCGTTGAGGATTTTCCTAATCCCGTCGGTCTTGTGATACGGCGTAACCCTAACACCGGTGGGTTCTTCACCCATAGCAAAAACTCGTTCCGGAAGTCGACACGGAGCCCTCATTCCGCCTTCGCTCTCCTCTATACGGTAATCTCTTTTCGTAAAATGAGTTTGGGGCCGATATTTAGTTCTGGTGTTTGGGTAAAAGAAGGAGATTTGAAATGCTCTGCTTTCTTCGTTATCTAGGCCGAAAGTTCTGACACAAAATATGGTGAATCTACCATATCTATTCCTTCTCGCCCATGAAATAGTAGTTACTACCCGTTGGTTGAGGTCAGGTGAGAGGATACAACGAAAGGGTACATGCGTAAAACTACTTGATAAACAATAACCGTTTTTTGTGTTTGGGTATTTCACAAATTATGCATAAGATTTTTGGTAGGAGAGGAAATTTCTCATAAATAAATTTAGCATAAATTTTGGACAATTTTCTCAAATAAAAACTTTTAAGTTTTTGTTATTAAAAGAGTATTAAGAAAAAAAATGACAAAATAAATTATTAAAGAGGTAAAATATTCTTTACCACTTGTCTAATTATATATAAATATAAGTAAATAAATAAAAATAAAAAAGTAAAAAAAAAAAACAAATTATTTTCAGTTTATGTGTTTCAAATTCTAGTTTTTTTATAATTCCTTTTCGAGTTTTCCTTTAATTATTGTTTTATTCCTTCTCAACCGTCTTTCATTCTCGATATTTAAATATCATATATAAGTAAATATTCATAAAAGTAATTGTTCAAACATAATATATAACCAATCCACTAAAACAAAATCAAATATTCAAACAAAGTTTAAATTTCCATGTATATCGCGGATCTATCCTAATTTATATATATATATATATATATATATATATATATATATATATATCGCCTAAATTCCAAAAAAATTGTATAGTCACTAGTCTTGTGCCTAGTTAGCCTGGGCATTTTACCTGGACCCGAAGACCCGAACCGGAACTGACCCGAAAATACAGGTTCGGGTCTGGGTCCGGGTCCATGCTGAAGTACCTATTGGGTCCTTTTTCTTTGGATCCGCGGGTCTCGGATCGGGTCCGGGTCCTACCCGAGACCCGTTCGGGTACCCGTAGGACCCGCAAATTATTACATATGTAAAGTATATTTAGGTGTTTGGGTATATTTTTGGTATTTCAGGTATTTTTAAAATTTTCGGATTCGGATTTTCGGGTATAATTTTAGGTTTCGGGTAAAAATTTAGATTTTCAGAAAATATAATTCGGGTATTTGGGTAAAATTTCGGATATTTTGGGGTTTTGGGGTCTGAATTTTTATAATTTTTGGATATTTTCAGGTATTTCGGCGGTTCTTCGGGTAATTTCCGGGTTTTCAGGTCTACTTTGGTTATTCGGATCCTTTTCGGGTCCTAAATACTCGAACCGACCCGGATCCGAAGTATACCCGAAAATTATGGGTATTTTACAGGTATTGAAATTATAGACCCGAACCGACCCGGACCCGACAAGACCCAACCCGGAACCGACCCGAAAAATTATAGGTACTTATATGGGTCCAAATTTTCAAGACCCGAAGGACCCGGACTTGACAAGACCCGAACCCGACCGGACTTGACAAGACCCGAACCCGAGGACCCAGATGCCCAGGCCTATGCCTAGTTATCGCCTTGCGATCTATTGACCATTGGTACTAAGCATTGTTTTGATGTTAATTGGTTTGATGAACTTAAATTCCCCGTGTCCTATTTGAGACAGGTTAGGTTTGAATTCCATATCAGAGATTAAGAAGTGATCATGTAGCTAAGTAATTGTCTTTTTCTGGCATTAACTGTCATTAGACATGCAAAGATAGAAGACAAATAAGATTTTAATCCTTACTACAAACATCCCTATTAAATCCAATCCACAAAATATCCAATCATTCAGTTGTGAATATTAAGTTAGAAACTTAACAGCTACACACGCCGGAGGAAGAAGCCTAACTGATTACATAATACAACAAAGTACAAACAAGTCCCATTTTGTAAATCACCCCTACGGATTTCACACATGAAGAGGTAAATGAGATGAAAGACAACTAACCCTTTCACTCTTCGTCTACCTTCTTTGTCTCACCTTCATCCTCTGTGTTTTCCTCCCTTTCATCATCAACACTCATTTCGTCAATGGCATCAGTGATGATATCCTTCACCTCTGTTTTTCTATGCATAAGATCAACTCCGAAGTGGCTCCCTAATATTATGACAAGCAGCCAATAAAATCATTTAAATGTAAAAGAAAACTTTCCCTGCAGATTTAGAAGATAACATTTATGAAAATTAAAGTGAAACATACCAAGCTTCCGCAGAATATCAGATAACGTCGCCTGTTTTGATACAAAGATCAAAAATGTCTTTATAAGTTTAAAACTTTGGTAAATAGTTTGTATATAATCTGTTAAATTTATTGAAGTCCTACCGTATTGAAATCTACTTCCTTCAGAATTTTGGCAACCACTACATGCATTTCTTTTCTGGTGGGTTCTCTTTTATTACCTTTCTTATTGGCTTTTCCTGAACACCCGCACAATAAATGAAAAAGAAAAGATTCAGTAAACTATTAAAATATAATTTAGCAGAGCTGAGAAATAGTTTCAAACCTTGATCTTTGGATCCTTTTGCCTGTGGTTTACTTGTCTGTTTCTTGCCTTTCTCTTTAGAGGAATCGTCTTCATCGACTTTTTGTTTCTTGCTTGATGATGAAGTTAATTTACCAACTTGTTTAGAGGACTTTCGACCAGATTTTGCAGACCCTTTAAGAGATTTCTCCTCTTCAGGTGCTGGTTTCGACTTCTTAGTTCTTTTTGACGATCTTTTCTTATTGGTTGACTTTTTCTCCTCAGCTTTATCTTTCTCATCTTCAGTTTCAGTATCTTCGCTTTTGTCGTTTGCTTTCTCTGGAACTGCATTATCTTCTCCATGAGAGTCATTAGATGGCTGATCTTGCTTTTTGCCAGATTCCTTTGTCTGCCTTCTTCTCTGTAATATCAAACAGACACAGACAGTGGATGTTTATGCAAAACCATTCAAAGGCTTAAAAATCAAGTCACTCAAAGACATAAAGAGGAATGATATTCATGAAAATGCTCTGAACCTTTACTTCAAGTAATCTATACGCTGTTAAAAATCTAAAACCTGATCACACAAAGAGCTAAATGTGGAAACCTGAACAACATGAACATAGGAGTGCATAACTGGAAGTTCCAACCAGTGTTTTAGACATCTCACATCTTTTATGTTGACAGCCTTGAAAAATTGTTATCAATTTGCTACCATTCCCAATTTTTTTCATTATGGTATCACTTACTGACTTACTGTGTGCTAATTTACTGAAACCAAATGGGAGCTGTACGTACAGCTTAATAAACTATGACATGAACATCAGATTACAATGTGTTGATGCAAGATGAAACTGTTTCAGAATGAGAATTTCAGAGCTTCCTAGGTAAAGTTCATGAGAGAGCCAAGACCAAGCTACTTCTATCATAAAGACCAAACAGTTCAAGTAACAACCAACTTGATTATAGCACTAGTAAATGAACTAGTAATCCCATTTACCAGCGGGAGCTAAAAAAGAATCAGATTACCATTACAAACTATAAAGACGAAAAAGGTTAACGATTACAAACCTTGGCAGGGACATCTGATGATTCTCCAGAAGTCACGCTTTTGGGTGTGCTCTTCTTCCGTTTTCTAGTTTCCTGTATTACGTATTCAAATAAAAAAAAAAAGAAAACAGTCTCAGGCTTCTAAGTTGAGAAGAGTAATAAGATTCAGCTGGCAAGTTAGAGTACCTTATCAGGATCAGTAAGTACTATATCCCTTGTTGCCTTGGGACATTCCAAAAATTCAAGCACTCTTACGGCTAGTTCTTCCTGAAGGTATGTATTATTAGCTACATTTATCAAGAAACAAATAGATAGATAGACCAAATTTTATTATCACTAACCTTTTTCACATTACTTTTGTTTATTGGTATGTCAAGCACATCACAGAAATCAATTAACTTTTCTTTGATACATTTCTCAATCTTCTCCTTTGTTCTTGCTCTTTGCTTCTCCTCCTAAAGAAGAAGAATACAAGAGTTCTGAGAACAAGGCTGATCGTCCCTGGAATGGAACTAAACATCCACTATATAAAGTTTGTTACCTCTTGCTCCGACCAGACAAACCCCGAAAATTGACCGATGTTTCTTTTCAGCGTCTGCGCCTGCACAGTGACAACCTATGAGAAATCAATCATGCAACTGTGGCGGGAGTAGAAGAAGAACACTGAAGTTCGAAGACGGCAGTCATCACATAAAAAAAAAACAAATGAATAGAGATACTAAAAAGGAGGCACACCTTTCCTTTCTTGGCGTAAAGAATGGTGTGAAGTAAGTAGAGGTTATCATCGGGTTTCCTCTTGGATAGTTTATAAGCCACTGAAAAACAGTTACAGACAACATTCTTATCAATCATTATCATGCAAGAGAGCACCAAATCAAAGCAAGTACCATTTGGAATCTCCTTAAGCCGTGTTCCACGACCCTGAAACAGTTGAAAGAGTCAAACATCATTAGAAAAAATGGAGAAGAAAGATTCGAACTTTGTACCAGCTGAATTGACACGGGCTTGCTCCCAGAAGACCGAGAGGGAGTATACAAAATGTGACGCTCTACTTTCTTTATTATCCTCTTAGTCCTCGGAGTCACAGGAGGCACCTTCTCCTCCTCTTCCCCTTTCTCCGTCTCCTTGACGGAACTAGCAACAACACCATCTTCTTCCTTCAGCGGAGGAGATTCCACCGCTTCTGGTATCTTCTCCTCTATGGTTTCGGTCGCCATGTGAGACTCTGCTCCACACTTGAAATCGAATTAATGTGGGACTCAAAAAGAAACCCTAAATTTTTCCAGAGGGAGAAGTTCGAGGAAACCCTAATTGTGGATTTCGAAAAATTTGGAAGACCAAGCCGCGGGCTTCTCTCACCAATTTCACATCTAGCGGCTAATTTAAGCTACGCTATCTATAATGTATACATATACCAAGATGATGATATACATTATCTAGTAATGTACTACTGTATGTATCGTACAGTTCAAAACGATGGCTTTTTACTTTTCGCACCCTGAAATGAAACAACATTTCTTTAGGCAGCAAATTTGCTTATTAAGTGGGTTCAAATTATTCTGATCACAAAAAAAAAAAAAAAAAATGGGTTCAAATTATAAAACAAAACTAAATTTTGACTCGTACAACTGTGCCAATTTTTTTTTAATTTATAGTTTATAAAAAACTATCAGTTGATAAGAATATATTTACTTATAAAATCTCGCAAAATTTTAAAATGATAGATGTTAAAATATCATCTGTAAATACAACATAAAAATATAAATTATCATTACCAAATATCTATAAAACTCAAAAATATATTAATAAGTAATAACAATTAATAAGAATATAAAATAAAATATAAAAAACAAAATACTATATATTAATAATGATAAATAAGATACTTAAACAACAAAATTATAGAGTTATATAATATATAGCATTAAATATAAATCAAATATTTAGTTTTTATTATAATATAAAAGGATTATATCTATAAAATGAAAATTATGTGTGGGTCAAACTCAAGAATTCAAAGCGGATCTAAGTCTTTGGTCTTGTTCGTTTTTGATTTGTATGGCCTTGTTTGGTTGTGTTGGTCTCTTCAAAGGAATGGGGTTGAAGTGTTTGTCTTTTAGCAACGGGTTAGCTCATGTTCACCAGCTTTAGGTTATGTTTTGGGTCTCGTCCTCATGATAAATTATTGCTACACGACAGTTTGGTTTTCTATAGTAATTGGTATTGTAGTGCTTTCGCCATTCTTTCTGGTTTGAGGAGTTGGATCTAATATTTTTTGGGATTGGTTTTGGTTTCCATTGTTTCACTGAGTCTGGTGATAGTGGATCTGAAGCATTAATCCAGGTTACCCATCTGATTTTTACTTTATAATTGAAGCTTACATGGTAGCTTAGCTGAAACTATTTCTGGACAAGTTTGCTATAAGCAGTGAAAAAGAATCGACCTATCTAGACGATGAGAATGATTGAAATGTTTTCGTTAAAGATATTAGAAATTAATCTGCTATTGTGGGAACGGGAATATCTAATCTATTTATTTGAAACAAGACCAGTTTGGTATAGCTAATGTGGCATTTATGATTGTCTTTGCTAGCTTTGGTGTGGAAATTCTTTTTATCGTTTTGTCATCTTCTATGATGTAACATGTTATAAATCAGATCAATAAAATAAAGTGCTAAAAAAAGTGGGTTCAAATGTTTACTCCACAAAATATGCTTACTAAATCTTGGATAAAATATACAATCTCAAAACTTTCATATGTTCCATTTGTGCTTACATTTCATGTATTATGGTATTTACCTACACTCACCTAAGGCTTGTAACAACATCTTCTATCGTGTCCTTCATTAGAAAGACAAAGTTAAGGAAATATATGATCTATAAGGCGAATATATAAACTGCAAGACATAGAGGCGAGATAAATTTATTTCCTTAACTCTTAATATTCGTTATGTAGTGAGACGAAACTGTACGAATATGAGTCCCATAATACAATCATGGCAGACAAATCACGCTTCACTCGTGAAACGCTCTAACGAACTATAAACCGTACGAAACACACTCTGAAACTTAAGCTAGTGGGAGATTTACTGGGTTTTTTGGTGTGTAAAAGATTTTTAAAAATGAAGAAGAAAATACAGATTTATTTAAAGAGAAAGACGAAAGCCACTTCCCGTAACAACTGCTACACGTGGACGGAAATTTTGCGGAGATCGAGGAAGTTGAGTTATGAAAACTTATTCTTCAAGATTTTCTCTTTTCTCGTTTAAATATTTTAGAAGATAAACTGTGTAATGTTTTTTATTTGTTAGACTGACTATTTGTCATTTTAAAATGAAATGCATGTTTTTTTGGCAAAAAAAAAAGAGTTTAACTTGGTCCTAAAAAAAATCTTCTTATTGGGCTAGAGGCCCTCTACCCAAGCCCAAGTCGGGCCGGTCGGGTGGCAACTGGGGCACGCATGAGGAGCTCTCTGTACCTCTGAGTTGTTTGAACCAAGGTAAGAGACAAGACATATATATACTAGTGATTCGCCCTCTCTTTAGTAGATGTGGGACTTTGCTCCCCTTCTCTTCATTTAATCAAAAAAGACTGAGGCCCATTTCTTTTCACTTAATGACAATTAGTCAAATAAGCCTTGGGTTTAATAATAAGTGATCCAACAATCCTCCACATGAATAGAAATGACATATGCAGAATATATGTAGACTCGATAGACCCTAAAAAAAACTTATACTAACAATGACTAGACAGACTTATCGAGAGTGTATGCGAAAACTTCACTGTGTTTGAGTTGGTAGCATTTTTAAGCCTTGAACCACTCATAGCTAATATATGTCGAGTTTACTTTACTAGAAGGTGAACATGATGTCTTAAACCAGCTGGTGTTTTATGTAAACCGAGACAACATACCTAACGCAGCTTCATTTTCTAGTAGAATTTAGTTATCTATTGTGGCCTTGAACTATTCGTCATTTTCATGAGTGAACTTAGAGAATATAGTCTTGTATTCATTCTCTTAGAAACGGCTTCATTTCACACTCACTAGGTGATTGACCATGAAAAGTATTGAGTAATACTTCGCTTTAGAATCTATGGAATCATTAAAAGCTTATGCTTATACTTATCATATTTTTTAACACTATTGTCATCTTAAGAACTGAGAAGAGACTACTTTGTCTCAAGTGCTTTGGTTTTGTTCTGTTTGATTTTTTTTTCCTTTGAACCTACGTCTTGGGATCTCCAGTCATGATAAGTAGGGTTGCAATCAAATATCTTCATTTGTAATAAGCTTTAAACACATTCCTTTTGATGATTTAGCAACAATATCTCGTGGAAAACTTTGAATAAATGGATCCTCTAGGTTGTTATCTGATTTGATGTAGTCTATTGTGATTACACCAGTTGAGATAAGTTGTCTAATGGTTTTATGTCGTCTTTTAATGTGGCGAGATTTACCATTGTAGAGATTATTCTGAGCCCGAGTTATATCTGATTGACCATCACAATGTATACGTATAGCTGGCACATGTTTCTCTCACATAGGGATCTTCCAAAAAATTTCTAAGCCATTCAGCTTCTTCGGTTGCTTTGTCTAAGGCTATGAACTCATATTCCATGGTGGATCTGGTTGGAACTGTTTATTTGGTAGATTTCCATGATATTTCTGCTCCTCCTAATGTAAAGACATATCCATTAGTGGATTTTGAGCTTTTTTAATCTGATATCCAGTTAACGTCACTGTATCCTTCTAAAATCGCTGACTCTTTACTATAGTGGAGTCCAAAATCTTTGGTGTAGCGCAAGTAGTTGAGTACTCTCGTTATAGAATTCTAGTGTGTATGACCTGGATTACTTGTATATCGACTAAGTATGTTTACTGCATGCTCTAGATCTGGTCTGGTACAATTGGTTAAGTTGCATACTCGTTTTCTGAAACCGCTTCACTTGAGTTCTTTGTCAAGTGCATTTGGGAGGTATCTAACAGAGTTTTTACCGTACTATTAGAGTAATTTTTAAATCTCTCTAATATTGTTTAAGTATAATGAGATTGAGTTAAGCTAATTCCATTTGAATTTCTTGTTACTTTAACCCCGAGAATTACATATGCTAATCCCAAGTCTTTCATCTCAAATTTCCCTTTGAGCATGTTCTTTGTTTGATTGATAATGTCTTTATAGCTTCCAATAATGAGCATATCATCTATATATAGACATAGCAAAACATACAAATTTTTGTAGTATATGCATTATTTTTGTTATTTTTGTAGTATATGCATTATTTTTGTTATTTTTGTAGTATATGCATTTGTCACATTCATTAATTTTGAAATCATTGTATTGTCAAATTTTTTATGCTATTGTTTAGGAGCTTGTTTAAGCCCATAAAGTGATTTTACAAGTCGGCATACTTTGTCTTCCTGTTCAGGAATGACAAAACCCTCAGGTTGTGTCATGTAAATTTTCTCTTATAAACCACCATTTAGAAATGCGGTTTTTACATCCATTTTATGGATTTCAAGGTCTCTTAAAGCTGTGATTGCTATCATCAGTCTTATTGATGTTATTCTCGTTGCTAGAGAATATGTATCAAAATAGTCAAGGCCTTCTTTTTGTGGTTACATATTTTTAAGAATTATTTTTTTTATATTTATTGATTAATATTTTTTTGTAGGTCGAAGCAAATGGCGGTCGATATTCTCAATGTCATTAAGGTGGCATACACGAACAAGAAGACATGTGAAATTCAGGATCCCCTAATCAGAGAGGTCGTGGAGATGGTGCAAACACAAAAAGAAGCATTTCTAGCTTCTATGACGAATCCGATGCAGCAGCTTCCACCAACTTTTCCCAATGCCGAATTAACGAAATGGTGGAACTGGTATTTTTAAACTTTTTAATTTCATTATTATTAGAATTAAGTTAATAATAATATTTAACTAATTTTTTTTAATACGCAGGAAGAAAGGACGTCTGGTCGGTTTGCCTCGCCGAGCCGCTTCGTGTCCTTCTGCTTTATCTTCACAAGCTCCAAATGTTGATCTGTCGATTATGGAGGAGCTGCAAAACAAGGGTGAGTGCATTGTAGCGTTGGAGGAGAAGAACGGTACAATTCTTGCTGAATTGGCGGAACAGAAGAAGCACAATGAAGTTATAATGGACAAGATGAAGCGCCTTTTTCCGTATGAGTTTTAGTTTTTTTTGTTTAAAAACTTTAGAATGTTTTTTTGACTTATGTACCACTTTATTTATAATATGTGTTTTTATTTTCAGTTTTTATGAATTTATAAAAAAACTAATTTATAAAATATAAATTTCTTAAAAAATAAATATATATTAAAACATTTAAAAATCATTAAAAAATGAAATTACCGAC